GGGGTAAAGCCAGTAACCATCGAGCGAGGCGTCTTGAACTGGCTTTTGGGGACATAAGCGCGGAACTCGTATCTCGTCATGGACATTTTGGAAGTGCATCCGTTGTACTCTGATGATCCGTTCAGTCCGAGCTTCTTCGGACTAGCCTCAAGCTTGATCTCGTCGTGGGGGTAGAAGAGGTTTTTCACGGTGGTTCCTTCGTCGAATGGAGCAATCAATGCAGTATCATTGTCGGAGCAATCGAACTTCCAGTCGATGGTACGATTGGTATTTTGGTAAACAAGCCACACTGGCTGATTGTCTGTGTCAGAACCAAGGTCTTGGAGATTGATATTGACATCTCGAACAACAGACCAGATACCGGTCTCGGTGACAGTGCCGTTTGAACCGGGGTATACGACATCCTCGGTGGACTTTGAAAGAGTGGTGAGGGTGTAGCCATCGTTCAACACAGGGAAAAGCTCGCGAAGTTGATACATGTGCTTCATGATGTTGCGGACAGGGTGACTTGGGTCACGATGATCATATGCAACAGACTCATTGTGACATCCATAGCGAGCAGCTTCAATAGGCCACTGGTAGTACTGACCAGAGTCCAGTGCAAAACAGCCATGTGATCTCCAGGCTGTAGCAGGAGACATAGCCTGTCGTCCATAGATATAATTCTCCGCGGTCGCGTCGAGAACATAGAAAGCTTGCTCCTCGCCCCAGAGCGCCAGAGGAATTCCAGGAAGAAGCAATGTCGTGATAAAGGATCCAAGCAGCTGTCTCTGAACACCGTCCTTGATTGAAGGCCATCGGAAAACATCCTGGTTAGTTGCCCCGAACATGTGTCGCGGGTCAAACTTGCCAGTGTTTGGGTTGATGAGATCGTTTGTTGTCATCATTGTGTTCCAGGCTTCGACCCAGTCAACAGGAAGATCAAAGCCAGCAGCCAACTGACCATCCATTCCCAAGAAGCGTGTCAGCATACGGTAGATTGAGTAGTGGAATGCAGCGCCATCAATAGCTTCGTGGCCGATTTCGCGGAGAAAGTATTGCGAGTCAGACTCATTGGTCATCTTCATGGAGTCAATCGCATTATCTGGCAATTGGTTTGGCTGTCTGCCCCGGCCAAGATAAATAGAGCCGAAGGTATTACCACCAGTGATTTCACCAGAGATGAAGAAATTCTCCTTGCCCACGGCGCGCGCACACTCGCGATACGCCGCTGACATTTCACCAAGCGCTTCGACGGTAGATTGGGTTGCCTTATCGTATCTGAAGCCATCGATATCCAGAGACGCAATAATCATACAAGAGTGCTGAATTAGTCTCTCTCGCACTGTCGGTTCCCATTCACGGAGGCGATCCTGCACCGACGCGAATTTGGCAAGCTGACGTTTCCAATCAGGGTAAACACCAAAGGCTTCGATGTCACCATATTGATCGAAGTCACTATCGTAGCAGCCGACAAGAGCGGCAGTCTGAGATTCGTTGACAGGGTATCCGTTTTCGAACCAGAAGCGAGGGTAGTTGCAGGAGTCGTTATACGAGTTACCAATATCGAAGTCGACGTAGCGGCGCTCTGATTTCCATTGGGTCTTGTATTCCTTTTCGCTGAAAGGAGTCGTCGTGTTGAGGTGTCCGTCAAAACCGATCAAATCACCCATACTATTAGAAGTTTATTAGTACTTGAGAGCAAAATTCTCTGTACATGGAGGGGACTCACGTTGCGATCGTGTTGTCGAACACGACGTACATGCCACGCTTGTGTATTTCAGTGATAGCATCGCGCCAGACCTGAAGTGTGCCGTAATGTTGGTCTAGCAATGTTGTATCTAAAGCAGAGTAACCATCGAAACCCCAAGGCTGATTCATCAGGGAGGTGCCGGCGAGGTAAAGAGCCTATCATCCAGTTAGAATGAAACCCTTCAGTAGATATCGTAGATGATACGAACTTTGATCCCCATTCCTTGCAGATAGTCGAGTGTGTCAACGAGCCCAGCGACGTCTCCTCCATGGCGCATTTGATTGGAGTTAATATCGTGCTCGAATTGTGTGCCGTTGATGTTATCGTTTGTGGGGTCGCCGTTGACGAAGCGATCAAGAAAGAGTGTGTAGAATGGGAATCGCCAGTTATCTGGGGACGCATGGTATTTTCCTTTGTGGTCTGGCCATTCACCCCAGTATTCTGCAGGATCTGTCGCATCCTTGTTTTGGTTAAGGTTGTATTCCAGTAAGGACTCATCGTAGGGCCAGGATGAAACTGTTGTGGCTAGCAGCGCCAATAGTCCACCTGATATTGACCACCGCATGATGTATTATGATAGGAACCGAGAGGGCTCCTTTCTCTAAAAGAAAACAAAAGATGAGATGTGTAAAAGTGAGAAATCTCACCCTGCAGAGAAGATGGGGGGGTTCGGTCTCTGGGCACAACCGCAAGTATTTCGCTCACTCTGCCTGACGACCCAGCGTTCTGGACTGTGAGAACCGCACGGGAGGTTCAAGCTGATTGTGCAGGAATACGAGAGTCAAAAACACCGCCAATCTGTGAGAAATCGAAATAAATTCAAAAGAAGAAAGCGAGATTATGACAAGATAAGTCCAAAGCACATAATGAGACAGGAACTAACCAATTTGACAGATTAGTGGCTTCTAAATTTGTATTAAGAAAGCAAAGTCTGGAACTATTGGCATTTTTACGCGAGTTGAGACATTTCGAGATTCTAAATTTGAGGATAGTTCGCAGCATCTATCCATCAGCTGGCTAAAAATGGCACGTACATGTATTTCACGCTAGAATACGAGATTTACCAGTGTTCTGGGAGTATCACCCGTTGAGATCCGCCTCGATGTAGAGGAGATACTCATTCCTTGCACGCCTATTGGACTTGATGGGCCAGGAACCCACTGGGTCCATGCAGGGTGGAATCCTGGATGAGTACCGAACATGTCGGGGTGGTTGTCTCACGTTGGCATTACCCGCGGAAGAAATTACAATGATTTACAAATAGATATACAGGGTCTTTTGATTGCCCAGGAAAAATAGATTCGGACTGGTCCCGTCATAACGGTCAAATAAGCCATGAAGTTGACGCTGGAACACGTACTCCGCCTCAAAATCCCTTTGTGCAATGCCAGATCGTTGGAAATGAATTATTTCTAACGAGGTTAATTTAATTCTCGATCCCAATCACGTTAGAGATATGTCAGTTTATTCTATGTTAACAACTCACAAAATTATTATGTTGAAGTTGTCGGTATATCTCGTATTCTCGGAGTACCGAAAGCGTGATAGCTCGACCCGGAAAAGTCGTCCCGCGTGGCTGTTGGACCGATAGCAAGGAAACGGACCGAGAGCCCTACGGGACCCGGAGGCTACGGTAACAGGTGGGTCACAATGTTTCACCGATTAGCGTATTTGTGTATGGATTCGCTTTTCGTTCCATTTCTGGCAATCCCCATTCCAAGTAGTATAATATCTGATTCACAGCAGTGGAGAACGGAAATCCTGAAGAAAAAGAAACAAGAAAAAACTCCACCATCACAGAGGCTCCGAGATTCGAAACCGCGGTTCTGGTCAATTTTCCTGGGCGTCAGAGATTTCAATCTGTAATTTTTCGAAATTTATATCGATGACTGATGTGGAAATCGATGTAACTTCTCGATCGGGCTGTTTCTTGCCTAAAACCTTCAGGCTCATCGTGCTGAAATTCAATTACATACAACGTGGCGTATTTCACCGATCCCTTGAGGCTTCAGATAAGCTTGATAGTTGACAGCCACCGAGATATTTGTGGGGCTCAGTATCATTGGGTGTCATATACAGTACGAGTACGTATATACACTGTTTGTGTAACAAGCCCAAAACATTACTGGTAATCCCATGGCTACCGGGGTCGCCGTCCTCATTGATAAGATACCACTCAGTCTGCAGTCTTGACAATCCATGCAGCCAGGGTGTTCATGCCACTGTTGCATTCTCCGATTTGTTATCGTTCTTCAATTGGCCAAATTTAGCTACACCGTGACTGTTGATAAGCTATGTACTTGGCAAGATGTGCTTTGCTTTTCAATGCGAACCAAAGTTAGTTGATCACACCCACATGGTGACTTTCAGTGTCCCTGATACGAGAAGATGGGCTGGTCATCGCCAGGTACCCGTCGGATAAAAGCAAAATCTTGGTTCTCCCGTTCTCCCAGCATTCCTTGGCTTCCTCTGTTTAGCTTTTTCTATCGAGGTGTGTGGAAATGAAAATAAGACACCTCCCTCTCCACTATATGGCAGGTTGTCTCGGGCCCTCGACTATTCTAGATGGGGCACGAGAGACTCTGGAAGAATCATTGTATGGAACGGAAGCACTCTGTCCTTTGCTATCACCCGAGAGCCCCGAACTCCGGAACTCCGACCAAAAATAGATGGGAAAAGTAGCCACGGCAATCAAATTCTTCATCCTTTAACATTGATTATCCAGGATGACTCAACAGATCCATACTGAAGGATCTCACTATTAGTGATAATTTCGAGGTATAATTTTATACTATTACTAACTGTCAAGCTATGAACGATCCTACTATCCCCATCCTCAAACTTTTGCCTCGGATTCCCAGTACTAGTCATTCCCGACTAAAATAACAGCCCTGTATAAGACCTAGATTAGGTCAAGTTCCAGGGTTCAACGCCGAAATCAAGGAAGTCACTATTGCTAATAACGATTCTTGTCCCACACTAGCGTACTATGGATCGTCACAATTGTGCGGGCCCTACTACTACTAGTAGGTCTTCGGTCTTTCCAGTAGCCCCTCCCTAATTCTTCACCTCCACGAGACCAACTCTACAGTCCACTCTGGGGTAAACCCCTTCACACTCATTCTGCACACAGTGCACTTCCACATTCGTTCATTTTTGATCTCATGTCACTCATTTTAAATCTAATTTCACCATCCTTCTGGATTGTTTGACACACTCTTTGCCCCTTGAAACCTTTGACCGACCCAGATACCCCTGATGAGCCACAATGCGACTGAAAGCAGATATGTCCCATCTGACGAGGATATTGGCCCTTGGTTGTATGGTTCAGCTCTCGGCCGCTGCAGGTATTGCTGAGTGGAAGTCCAGGTCGATTTACCAGACGATGACCGACCGTTTCGCGCGCACAGACGGATCAACAGTTTCACCATGCAACACGACCGCGGGTCTTTATTGTGGAGGGACATGGAGAGGCACAATAGACAAGCTCGACTATATTCAAGGGATGGGATTCGATGCTGTCATGATCTCTCCTATAATTGAAAATGTTGAGGGTCGAGTTTCCTATGGTGAAGCCTACCACGGGTACTGGCCCGTGGACCTCTATTCGCTGAATTCACATTTCGGAACTCGACAAGATTTGCTGGATCTCAGCGATGCTGTGCATTCCCGGGGATGTATCTTATGATGGATACTGTCATTAACAACATGGCCTACGTCACTAATGGGAGCAACCCAGCCACCCATATTGACTACTCGGTCTTCACGCCATTTAATAATTCCGATTACTTTCACCCCTACTGCAAAATCACAGACTGGACCAATTACACCAACGCACAGAACTGTCAGACTGGAGATAAGATCGTCCCCCTTCCAGACCTCTTCACTGAGCATAAAGATGTCCAGAACCTCCTCGAGAAGTGGGCGCAGGATACGATGCAAACTTATTCGATTGATGGACTTCGAATCGATGCCGCTAAGCACGTCAGCTCGGGATTTCTACACAGCTTTGACAAGTCAACGAGCGCATTCATGACTGGAGAGGTGCTTGAAATGAGCAAGGATATAATTTGTGATTACCAGCACAACTACATCCAAAGTCTCCCAAACTATCCAGTTTACTACGCGATGCTGGAGGCTTTTACAAAAGGCAATATCACTCGCCTCGCGACAGAAGTAATCGAGATGAAGGCAATTTGTCCCGATGTGACAGGCCTTGTTTCCTTTTCTGAGAACCACGATGTGCAGCGTATTGCTAGCTTTAACGACGATATTGCAGTATGTCTTCACTTCCACAGCTCGCTTCAAAACATTTTGTCTTACTTTTAACTTCTTTCTCAGCTCGCGAAAAATATACTTGCCTTCACCATTCTTTTTGACGGCATCCCGATGATCTACCAAGGGCAAGAACAACATCTAAAGGGCGCTGGCACTCCATTAAATCGACAGGCTCTGTGGCTGTCTGAATACGACACCGATTCTGTTCTCTACAAGTTGATCTCTAAGCTCAATGCTATTAAGAGCCATGCCCAAAGGATAGACAACAATTACATCCACACCGAATCGCGTGCCGTCTTTGAAGGCGGAAGTGAACTTGCCTTCGTGAAAGGTATTGAGGGGCTCCAGGTGCTGATGCTCCTCTCAAGCCAAGGCAAATCTGGCAAACCCTACGATCTCAGTCTACCATTTAGCTTCAATGCTGGCACACAAGTCACCGAGGTGCTTAATTGCAAAAATTACACTGTCGACAATCAAGGTGAATTAAAGCTCGACATGGACGCAGGCGAACCTCGGGTTTTCTATCCCACCAAATACATGGGAGGCAGTGGTCTTTGTGGATACTCATCCTCCAACATCAGCCTTGCGGATCTCAAGATGGGCTACTCATCGGCTAAATCTCTCGGGACTCCTACGCGTGTAAACCCGACCGGTTCAATTTTGATTTCTTTTATTCTATTGCTGCTTTTAAGCATTGAGAGACTCTTTTAAGCCATGTAAGAACGTGTCTCATGTCTCGATTAAGTGCCACTTCTTTCCCCCAAGCTTTCTGTAAATACCTATGTCTCTCGTGCTTAATGTACTATTATTACCCCCAATCTCCACGGCTTATCGTGCCAGTACTATTACTGAATAGAGTGACATTTTTAGGCTAACTGCAATGTCTCTAAATTTCGCAGCTCGTGGAAGGGTTCGCATTTTATTTTCAAAAAGGAATTGAAGGTTAATTACTGAACACAAGGCCTGGAATCTCATCTTTAACCGGTTCCTCGAATCAGGCAATTCTGCGCCGCCGGCTATCATTACAAGTACAGAATGATATTCGATCGAAATATGTCTTCTTACGCATTTATGGCGTAAACTGACTTTGGAACTGTTCGACTGCCCAAACTGTTGGCCCAAGGATAGGCACCAACTTAGGGCTCCTTTCACATATGTTCCGCCGGTGACCGCAAACGTATTGTAACGGTAATGGAGACATCCGAGACATGTAAAATACAATAAACTCGAATTGTACTCCGTAGTTATGGAGCGGTCCACTCATCGAATTTTCTACGCCCCACAATACCAACCCGTCCACTTCCAGGACCCTGGAAAAAAAACAGTAACGGTGATCTATTTAGGAATTTTTCAAAATAGCCTGAGACCAATGCCATGGGCCACTTGGAGTATCCACATTGCTATCCGGTATACGAAGATATATGCCAGGTTGTGATTGTTTCCCCATATCGAGTGTTAACTTCATGCGTTGTTAATTACAGCACCAAAATGTCATCGTTTCTTTCATGTTTCAGCCCGCGGCGCCGACACGAACAAAGGGCACTGAAGCAAAAAGAAGGTAAGACTTTTTGGAGCACATTGTGGCTTGATATTTGTTTGACATATCCAAAGACGCAGCAAGATTCCTAGACCGACTACCTTCATGGAATACATTAGATAATTCACTCATTTTTCAAGCATTCGAGTGGCATGTCCCCTCGGATAAGCGCCATTGGTATCGCTTGAAATGTCTACTTCCAGAATGGCAAGCGATGGGTATTGATCACATATGGATCCCGCCGGGTTGTAAGGGTATGGACCCCAACGGGAATGGGTATGATATCTATGACCTCTTCGATCTTGGAGAATTTGATCAAAAAGGCGCCATTTCGACCAAATGGGGAGGCTTCATAGAACTTCAAGAGATGATACGCGATGCGAAATCTCTTGGAGTCAACATCATTTGGGATGCTGTTCTGAACCATAAAGCCGGAGCGGACTATTCTGAAAGCTTCCAAGCCATTGCCGTTGACCCGAAAGGTACGCTCATCATGAAAAACTATTTTTGAACCGACTAACCATCAATTTACAGAAAGAAACAAAGATATATCCAGCCCGCAAGAAATTCATGGCTGGACAGGCTTTGATTTCTCCGGTCGCGGAGACAAGTATAGTAACATGAAATATCACTGGCAACACTTCACAGGTGTCGATTGGGACCAGAAACTGGAGACGAACGACATTTATAAAATACTTGGGCCTGAAAAGGACTGGGCGTCAGATGTTTCAACAGAGAATGGAAATTATGACTACCTCATGTTTGCCGATCTTGAACACTCGAACCCCGAAGTCTGCGCCGATCTTCTTCACTGGGGTTCCTGGATCACGAACCTTTTATCCATCAGTGGAATGAGACTCGATGCTGCGAAACATTTCTCAACTCGGTTTCAAAAGAAGTTCATTCAACACGTTCGAGATAACTCCAATCCCAAATTCTTCGTGATAGGAGAATACTGGGCTCCTAATGTGTCTGACATACAAGACTATTTGGAGAACCTTGACTATCAGGCTATGGCATACGATGTGCCTCTTCTAAAGAAGTTTTCAACAATTTCAGAAACTCCATACGCAGACTTACGTACCATCTTCAATGATACTCTGGTACAATCAAAGCCAGGCCATGCGGTGGTAAGATACCGATGAGACAAGCCATTGTTTTATTGCAACTGCTAATCTTTTTTTTTTCTAAAAAGACCTTTGTTGCGAACCATGACACGGTATGTACCTTATCTAACCAGAGGTCCTTTTTTTTGTCCCAAGTAACCTAGCTAACAATCAAAAGCAACCTGGGCAAATGCTCGAGGTAAGCTGAATCGTCACTTGTCACATTAGACCTGGTACGGTCACGGTGCTGGGAAAAGCTAATATTTGTCCAGACACCTGTCGCCTCGTCATTCAAACTAGCCGCATATGCTCTGATACTTCTCCGAAAAGATGGCTTTCCCTGTATATTCTACGGCGATATGTATGGACTGAACGTCGAAGGTTCAAGGGCGCCGGCATGCGACGGAAAGCTCCCACTTTTGGCGCAAGCACGCAAGCAGTACGCCTATGGAGAGCAAGAAAATTACTTCGATGAGCCAAATTGTGTTGGTTCGTGTTGCTCAGCCCTCGTATTGTTATCATGGTTGCTAATGAGGTGGCAGGGTTCGTGCGCTACGGAAACGCCAATCACTCCGGCCTGGCCTGTCTTATCAGCAACGGCGGCCGAAGCAGAAAATGCATGTTCATTGGTAGACAGTATACGAACACACAGTGGATAGATATATTAGGCTACCATGACAAGCGAGTCGTTATCGACAAACGAGGCTATGGCAATTTCCCCATTAACGCCTCATGCGTTGGAGTTTGGGTGGAAGCTACTGCTGTGCGACGAGATCACTTGGAAATGAACTTGTACGTTGGGTTATTCCTACTCCAGCCGAACACCTAGTATTCTGCGGTATTTTTTACACTAACTCTGGCTTTATAGAACCTCGAATATTTATGAGCTCTAATGTTCTTATGTTGGATGTCGGACTCGATCTTAATGTAATAGGGGGTAAATGTAGCATCAAGGACTAGTTTTCTTTACTTCAGGAACTGTACAAATCATGGGTAATAAAAAGTCAATCCAAGATCGATCGCATAATTCGGGTGAGAGATGTATGCCGAATGTCGCATAATTAGCCCGCATATACGGCCGTAGAGAGTAAGACATTTTTTCGAATCGAAACTTGGTCGGTCCAAGCTCGGGAAAATTCCGTATGTGGCTTGACCGCCGGTGATCCGAAACTGCAGTGCAGTAAAGCGATTCACGCATGTCTCAGTATGAGCCAATAAAAACAGATTCTCACCATCGATAGCCATGTGTGGCGCCCGTAACTTATTTTGTGTATCAGGACACCCGCTAAGGAATCTCTGTGGCTTTGGGCGGTAAATGGCCAATCGAGATGGCGCCTTATAGCACGTAGATCTCGCGGGCTTGGCTCCCCGAGATTATCTCTATATTTGCTTAGGAATAGTCTATTACCTACTTCGGCCTGAATTTCCCCGATTTATTCAAATTGTTCCTATTTTTTATACTTTGAATAAATCTGGAAGGATATTCTCCAATAAAACCATTCCCTTTGCTTGCGATCGGGGCCCGACTTTTAAGCCGACTATTTTTATCAACGGCGGATCTTGTCTTGGCAGGGCGAGATTCGGTGGAGTCTATAAAAACAGCTTTTCCTTTTTGGGGTTTATACCTAACAATTAAATAATTATTAAATAATTCGAGTTCGTATGGAAACTTGTTTTGATACACAATACCCTAAGTGGCTATTTTCATACCATGTACGGGCCCTTGGGGCAAAGTCATGGTGGTGGTGGGTGTTACATACAGAGAGGAACTCCGGTGACACATCCTTTCACCGACTCGCGCCACTCACGTCGGAAATACGCGATTACACCGTCTGACACAGGCTCTGTCTTGAAACAACCGTTGAAATACTACTAAGCCCTAAGTGGTAGGGTTCCGCGATTAGTTGGAATGCCATGTCAATCTCAGCAAAGTTCGGAGTATGTAGGCATGTATTCTATCATCAGAAGGCGTATGGACTGGCCAGTCAATCTTGATTCTCTAGGGATTTCGTTCCGGGGCAAATGAGACTGAATACTGCCTGGCTGGGGCGAGTACCGTATTTTTTCCACTGGGGCGACACGGTTCCCCATCCAGGGTCCAGTTTGCTTCAGAGACATCTTAGAGACATCAGGTACCGAACAAGACGGATCAGAGGATACTGCATAGTGGTTCACAGGATGAGAATTATAGAACAGGTTGTGAGAGTTGACTAAAATTTTCCGAAAACTATTTTAGGCGTTTTTGTGTATTTTTATTCACCACTGGGTTTGGTTCGTACTTTATAACTTTGGTCTCCCGAACACTGTTCAAGATATCATCTTTCGATTCACAATAACTACACACCGTTCGACCCTACTAAATTCCCCTCTTCATTTCATCTATAATATCAATCACCATGCGCTGGTCCATTGTTGCCCTGGCCCCTCTGGCCGTCTCTGTTGCCGGTAAGTTAGGCATGACTGGGGTTGAAGGACGGTATGAGAATGCTTACTTTATCAGCTCTTTCCGTGGATGAGCCCAAGAAAGGAGCCGAAATTGATTCTTCAAAGTCCTTCGTCGTGAAGTGGTCTAGTGTTGAGTATGTTTCTTTCTAATTGACCTTGGGAATGGACGACTAAACTCTTAAAAGATCCGACCCTTCGAGCTTCGACATCTACCTCGTGAACAACGCCATCTACCCCAGTGTCGAGAAGAAGATTGCGACTGGCATTGATACCTCCAAGGGATCCTACACCGTCGACGACCTTGATATCTCCGCTGGGTATAGTGCTCCGGATTCTCTGCTCAGAATGACTCAAATCTAACTTGCCGATAGCCATGGCTACCAAATTAACCTGCTCTCCGACGCCAAGCTCAACACCGGAATCCTCGCACAGTCCCAGCAGTTCAACGTGACCGGTGACTCCCACAGTTCCTCTTCTACCAGCATCACCTCTTCCTCCTCTTCCACTACCACTGGCGCTTCGACCAAGGATACTACTCTTAGTGGAACTCTCGTCAAGACCACTTCCGATGGTACTGCTATCACCACTGCCACTTCCGCTGGCTCTAGCACTACCTCCAGTGG